AAATTTCGTTTGGACAGATAAGAAGGTTCTCGTTCCGCGAAATGCAGCTATCGACGGATAATTTCAGCGAAAGTAACATAATCGGGCAAGGGGGTTACGGTAAAGTGTACCGAGGGGTGTTGGTGGACAACACTAGAGTTGCGGTTAAACGCCTCATGGACTACCATAGTCCCGGAGGGGAGGCGGCTTTTATGAGGGAGGTTCACTTGATAAGTATCGCGGTCCACAAGAACCTCCTCCGTTTGATCGGATTTTGTACGACCTCGACCGAGAGAATTCTCGTTTATCCGTTCATGCAGAATCTCAGCGTTGCGTATCGCCTAAGAGGTACAATTGTCTATTTTCAAGTAATCATCTTTTTTAAGTTTATTGCCTTCAGAACCCCTGCGTTATATCGAATTGCTAAAAAAACTCTCCGTGTTATAAATATTAGCAAAAACCATTAACCTTTTTAGCACACAACCCCTGAAAATAAATCACATCATAGGGGGTTTTCGCTAATATTTATAACACGGGGAGTTTTTTAAGCAATTAGAATAAACGGATGTGCGCTAAATGCAATAAAGCCGAAAAATACTAAGGATACTTTACTATATATATGTGATTTGTGTGTCTTTCTCTATATTGTTTTAATTACTCAATATTTGTTTTTTCCTGAATTCGGCAGATTTAAAACCGGGAGAGAAAGGGCTCGATTGGCCAACGAGAAAACGGATAGCTTTCGGTACGGCACATGGCCTAGAGTACCTGCACGAGCATTGCGAACCGAAGATCATTCACCGTGATATGAAGGCTGCAAATATTCTTCTCAATGATGAATTTGAAGCTGTTCTTGGAGATTTCGGATTGGCCAAATTAGTCGACGCGAAAGTGACCCACGTGACGACTCAAGTACGTGGAACAATGGGACATATTGCCCCCGAGTATTTGTCTACTGGAAAATCGTCAGAGAAAACGGATGTGTTTGGTTATGGTATAACACTTCTTGAATTAGTTACGGGACAACGTGCAATAGACTTCTCTCGACTCGAAGAAGAGGAGGATGTTCTTCTTCTTGATCATGTAAGTTTCAATTTTGTCTCGTTTCTAGGACTATTTGCGGTTACTCTTAGTCATCGTTTGGTTGCTAAACTAAAATTAACTAAAATATGATATTTGACATCTTATTAGTGACACAATTTCCCAATTTCTTGGTCGACGTGAAAGTTACATTGGACTAACCAAACATCAAATAAAGTCCAATTATTTAAACCCGAAAATCCGAAAATCCGAAACTGAAACCAAAACCGAGGCTTGTTCACCGATTTAATTTAATTTATTTTTTTCTAATTTTTATGTGAGTTTAGATCAAGAAGTTACTGAGGGAGAAACGGATCGAGGACATATTGGACGGTAATTTGAAAAACTACGAGGGGAAAGAAGTTGAGACGATACTCCAAGTGGCGATGCTTTGCACGCAAAGTTCACCGGAGGATCGACCGAGAATGGCGGAAGTTGTGAGCATGCTTGAGGGGGTTGGTTTGGCTGAGAGGTGGGCAGAGTGGGAGCATCTTGAACAAGTGAGGATTCAAGAATTTTCAATAATGCCACACAAGTTTCTTTGGGGTGAAGATTCTACTCATGATCAAGAAGCTATACAATTGTCACAAGCAAGATAGTCATTTCTTTATTTGCAAATTAAGGTGTAACTAACTAAAAGGGGTGTTTGTTTGAGATTTTATATATATATATATATATATATATATATATATATATATATATATATATATATATATATTAAAAGTATGATATATGATAAAAGTTATGGTTTAGTGAGTGGTATTAAAGATAATGTACATAATTGTCATATAGAATAGTTCATAATTGAGTTTATTTGGATTTTATGTAATGTTGTAAATTTAGTACCTGTTATTGCATAGTATATAGAAGGTGCTCATGCGTTATAAGTAGGGCTTAAATGAATCGGATCGGAATTAGCTTTTTCGGAAGAACAAATCAATTCCAATTTCAATTCCGAAATTTTCGGAATTTAAAAATTCATTCCAATGCCAAAAGGCTTAGAAATTTTGGAAAAAAATCAGAAATCACACAAGTTTTAAATTTTCAAATTAGCGGAAATTTTCTGAAAATTTCATAATTTTAAAAAATAAGAACATCCACGTCGACAAAGTAAAACTAATAACTATAATTTCAGTTGAAAAATAGATAAATATAAACCACATAATAATATCCAATAAAACTTCTAACAACAATTCAATATAAATCTAATTATTATTTCATAAAAAAACTTAAAATAAGTAGTATATAATATATATTATTTATAGGTGTATTTTTAGGAAAACAATCGGATTTTTTTGGAATTAATTTCGGATATTAAATCGGACCGGAAATCAGAAATTCTAAATTTCTCTTATATAATTGCAATTTGAATCCAAAAAAATCTGAAAAATCCGGAAATCAAAAATTTGGAAGTCGGAATGAATAAAACTTGCACCCCTAGTTATAAGTGTGAAATTTGTAGAATGTGAATTGTGCTACTATCTATATACATACAAGAAAAAATGGATAAATGCGTAAATTCTCGAATTTTATATTAGCGAATTGCATATAACTCTAGGGAGACCGACTTATTTGCACTTTTATCCAGACTAGTATGAGTCCTACAAAAAAGTTTATTCTCTTATCTCTTACCTAAAATGCTCCTCAAAATACAATTTATATCAATTTCATCCATAATGTCTCAACTTAAAAACAAATTATGCAATTTGACCTCATATTTTAATAAATATATCACAGTAACCCGTATTTTCACTTTTTTTTGAAAAAAATCATTTTTCTCTGAACTTTTTTTTATCCAGCACTGACCGGCATTGACTTTTTTCTTTTGATTTTTTTAATTATTTTATTTTCACCATATAGCGCACCTATACCAAACCATTTAAAGACTGTGATTCAGTTTTAGTACTTAAACTAAACACGGATGAGGTATTTCTAGTACTTCCATATGGCGCACAATAATAATGTAAGGGCATCTTTGGTTGGCAGTATTACAAGGGATGGGATGAGTTGTACCGATTTGTACAACTTTGGATTTGGTTGATTTTACCATCCTTGAAAATAGGCCCCACCGATTTAATCCCTCAATCGAAGTATTATTAGTCAAGTCAAATTTGGCTTGACTAATTATCACATACTCAATCCCATATTGTAACCCATGTGAAATATCAAAAATATCCGTAAAAAATACCACAATTACGAAATTAATAGATATAAATACTGAATAATCTTTATTTTCCCCTTTCAAAGATCGTGCCCTAGTTTTTACCAGGTAAAAATCATACCATTCACGGTCTTTCCAATCTTCTATTCTTTACTTCCTTGTGGTGCTTAATCCCTTCAATTTCACCATTAAACCCTAAATAATTCTTTTATTGTCCGATATCCTAAAATATCGGAGCAGTCGCCGGCGTCGGAACTACAATGGAAGGTTGACCAAACGGGTTCTGGTAAATGTTAATAGTAGAAGGTACATCTATATTTTTAATGATTTTTGGTGTTTTTATGGTTTAATCCGCCTGATTTGATTGACTAGTGTATGGTTTCGGGTTTGGGAACAAGGGAGGCACCAGATTTAAAAGAACATTAAATATCGAGGTAAATTTCAACATTTCACACTCTTCTCATTTGTTGTCTGTAGTGTTTATATCAATTGATTCCTTCAATTTCATTCACAAATGGAGGGTTTTTTGGTTAGCAAACACCATCTCAGTTGGTTTTAGGTCGCCATTTGCAAGGTATTTCTGCCCAATTTTACACTGTAATATCTACAGGTATATGCTTCTGTAATTATATTGAAACAAATTGATGTCGTGCGTTTTTATAGATTCTCTGTGTATCTACTTATGTTAGCATTAGAAATTAGAGTTGATTTAGTCTGTGTTTGGTATTGTGCGAAAACCTAAATGCATATTCTGCTTACTTTTCCTTTTATATTTCGCTTGATTATGATTTGTATTACGATGTTGAAGTGATGAACATCATATGTTGTACAAATATGAACAAAGTGTAATGTTTGTTGTGTTACAGTAAGTTTTGAGTCTAAAGTTACGATTCGAAGGGCTTTTATTATTTTGAGGATTATATTATCGCAAACAATGATTAAAACAATGTGTTTGGTTACAGTTTGAGTTAATTTGAGTTAAAACATTTAAACATTTAAACATTTATACATTAAAATTGATTTCAGTTTTTTTTTTTTTTTTCAATTTGAGCAACAAATTGTGAATTATGGGTTTCATTTTGCTTGACAAATTGATTTATCCTAGAATATTTCAGTGAATATACTTTACAATAGAATGTTACGACAATCTAACATTGGTTGTTTGCACAATTTAATAATCACCCAAGTTGTACACCGTATATAATTTGATTAATAATTTGAGACGGCAGGACCCTATAATATATGTAATGTACATCAAAAAATGATACTAGGTATTGATGTTAATGTAGGAGATAAGTTGGTCTAAGATGGATTTTCAAAAAAGGAAGAGGACGTAGTTGTTTTGCACCAATTCATGTTTAATCTTATGATGTTTTTCTTGGTGTCTATTCATTTATTTGGTCAAAAAAATCGTCGTCATTTGTCTCGCTCTAACACTAACAGTAGAACTGACTGTTTGGTAGGCCGCACACCTTTACACCTCAACTATTTGCGTTTAATAGTTGGTTTAAACGATGTAACCTGTCGTGACAACCATATAATGAACATACAAACCTTTTACCGACCGTGTTACATTTTAGAAAATATCGGCGGTCTTAAAGCAAATAGAAATGTCTCTATACTCGAACAAGTTGCAATGTTTCTTCAAATTCCACACACAAAAAATGTTGTTGTTCGGAGTCATTTTAATAGATCCGAGTATACGGTAAGCAAGCACTTTAACCGCATCCTTCTAGCTTTGCTTAAGTTACACGAAATGCTATTAATCCACCAAAACCCGTCGATAAAGACTGTGAAAATGAGCGTTTTTCACACTTCAAGGTAACAATATTCACCATATAATGTCACTACTATCAAACGCAGCCGTAATCAGTTTAAATAACAACTTTACTATGGTCTCTTATTTATTAGGGCTCTTGGTGCCCTAACGCCGTAC